CACAAACCTTTAAATAATAATGTCTGCAGAGCCGAAACCGGTTTGGCTCAGCGGTAGAGCATCGGTCTGCGAACTGAAGGGTCCCAGGTTCGATTCCGGTCAAGGGCATGTACATGGGTTGCAGGCACATCCCCGGTAGGGGGTGTGCAAGAGGCAACTGGTCGATGTTTCTCTCTCATCGATGTTTCTAGCTCTCTATCTCTCTCCCTTCCTCTCTGTAAAAAAATATCAATAAAATATATTTTTTAAAAATGTCTGCAGAAAAATAATACTCTTTTACAATTATAGGTCAATAAAAGGAGTTTGATAAAGAGTAAAATTGCATAACACCATAAGAAAAATATATTGAGAAGAGCTACTGATTATTTAAATTGTCAGCATTGGAGGGTGAAGAGACCCCTGATATGCTCCTGGTTGGAGGCTGTACTGGCACAACTTTTCCAGAGAATATAAATTGTTGGGGCGGGTTTTTTTTTGTATGTTTGTTTTTTGTTTTTTTGTTTTTTTTTTTTATATATTTCATTGATTTTTTACAGAGAGGAGGAGAGAGGGATAGAGAGCTAGAAACATCAATGAGAGAGAAACATTGACCAGCTGCCTCTTACAACCCCCTACTGGGGATGTGCCCGCAACCAACGTACACGCCCTTGCCCGGAATCGAACCTGGGACCTTTCAGTCCACAGACCGATGCTCTACCACTGAGCCAAACCGTGTTGGGGCGGTTTTTAATTGAAAAACTTTAATGTATTTTTATTAATTTAGGTCTATGCATTCTACATGTCAGAATTAATACTAAGAAATTGCACAACTTTTAGGCTATCTGAATGTAAAGCACAATATTGTACTTATTATTATTATTACTATTATTATTATTATCGTTATTATTTTAAATCCTCACCTGAGGATATTTTTCCCAGAGAGAGTTGGGGGGAGAAGGGAAGACAAAGAGAAATATCAATTTAAGAGAAGCACATGGATTGGTTGCTTCCTGCATGCACCCTGACCAAGGCGGGGGCTAGGGAGGAGCCTGCAACCAAGGTATGTACCCTTGATGGGATCAAACCCAGGACCCTTTAATCTGCAAGCTAATGCTTTATTCAACTAGGGCATAAAATATAATATTTAGAATGTGAATAAAATGAGACAATTTAGATGTGTAAGAAAAGAAAGTTAGTTCTTTTGTTACAATCAGTATGGAATACCATGCAGTTTATACAAATGATTTTGCATAAGAATGTAACAAAGAAATAAATAAATTCATTACATATTGTTCAGCAAATTGGTATAATAAAAGGACCAGTAAATCATTTAAAATGACAGCTCTGGAGTCGGAGGGCCTGTACTAAAACTTTGTGTTAAAACTTGCATCTCTGGGACTTACTATGTGAGATGTCAAACTGTTAAAACTTCTAATTTCTTTTTCTGTAAAAAGAAGAATAATTGTTCTTTTTCCTACCTCATTATATTTGGGGGATAGCAAAAAAGACAATGCATTCAATGTTCTTAACATTTTACCCACTGAGTAAGTGTACATAGCATGCTGTTGATAGAATAGCATAAATACATCATTTGTAAAATATGTGCATGTTTATATTTATTTCGATTTAGATATTGATATGATATACATACAGTATTAACTTCAATTGTTTTCTATGTGTTTAAATGTGATTTTTGTTGCATTTGCTTGTTTGTTTGCTTTGGTTTAAATGTGTTCCCTTAATGTTGTACATGGCAGACAGTATGAGTCAGGAGTTCGGCTGCAGTAACAAACTACCCTAACATGTGAGCTGATTCATAAAAGATAGGTTTATTTCTTGCTTCTGTTACAGGTCCCTTGGTGGTGTCAGCAGAGGTTTCTGCTAATCATCCTCATTTAGAGACTAATCAGCCACCATCTCAAATACCCAAATCCCAGGGCCAGATGAAAATGGAGATGGCAAATCTCTCTCTGCCTCTTTAGCTTCTGCTCTGAAGTGAACACATCTTTTTATTAATCAAAGCCAGACAGACTCAAGAAGAGAACCTGGATAATAATAATAAATGTAGTTTTAAGTCAAGAAGAGTTTAAAACTAATGTGTAAGCTATCATTTCAGTTTTTTTAGCAGAACATTGGTATGAAAATAAAGTTGTACATCATGCCTAACTCCCAGGAGTAGAAATTAGGATGAACAACTGTACATCCATATTGACTATATGAGAGTCAATTAAATTAAATGAAAAGTTATTCCTAGGCAATAAGAAATAGAAATCAAGGAATCAGAGGATAAGCAGATAACATAAGAGATAATGTAAATTATTCTTCTACCTTCAAGACATAAGGGTCACACTAAGTTATCACCAGCAGAAGCAATGCATCTATTATAATTAAAATTCCAGTGGAAAATGCCTTCACCTGGCCCTTGAGGTGAACTCGACTGAGGAACTTCAGTACATTCTTCCAAGGTAGTTTATTTTTCTTGGCCCCAGCTGGTAAGCTGAAGAGGCTCTCTGGCTTATGAACCAATGGGCCTTGTAATTGCTTTCCTCACTCATGTAACCACTGATGCAATTGTCACTCATATATTACAAAACTAATCCTTCGCAAGTTTCATGTTGAGTATTTGCTATGAAACACCCCATGCCAATGAGTTTGCAGATGTAGCACTATGAAAAAGGAAGGGTCTCTGGTCATTGGTCTGAGTACTGGCTCCCATAAACCCTTGGTCTTCACTCTCAATATTCTTACATTTTGTTATGGTTCCCTGAGAAATCACCTCACTCATCAATACCTCAATTTCTCCATAAGGAAGCTAGAAAAGCTTATTATTTATCTGTAAAGTATTTCAAAAGACTTAAATAAATTATAAGAAGTAACCATAACTTAATCCATATATTCAAAACCTTTTTAATAAACTTTAGATATACTCTACTTCTTCAAATGGTAGCTAAATTTATTAGTTAATCTCCAGGAAGGTAAGAGACAAAGATGTGTTTACTGGAGTTTATTAAAAATGTATAGACACAGCCCATAAGAACCTTCATGCAGTAGCCTTATATTAAAAGTTTTAGGGACAAATGAAAAACAACTGGTAAATATATATATTTAGAGTAATTTTCTATTTGAGAGATATTGTGTATGGTTTTTTTTTCTATGATGTAAGTTATTTTAACAATAAATGAATGTGTGAGTAAATAAATAATAGTAGTCTAAAAGATACTAACTTTTCATCTTTGTTACTTTAAAAGCATGAGAGACTAAAGCACTATAATGGCAATACTGTATAAATGCAGGCAAAACACTAGTTTTTGTCTAGGGTTATTCAGTGAAAGCAGGGTAAGTCAGAAATGCTTGTGAAATGAAAATATTCCTCTATGCATTTCTTTCTTATCTCCCTACTTATAATCATTAGGAACAAATATCAGAGTATAGGAAAATACCTATAGCACAAATAATCTTGGTGACTTTGGGAGTTTTCTACATGAGGAAAACTATAAGTAATTTCAAAAGCAGATGATAACAAATATTGGGAAGTTGTGAAGAAACTGGAACCTTCACCATTGCTGGTGGGAATGCAAAATGATGTAGCCATCTTAAGCACAGTACCTCAAAAAGTTAAACCTAAATTACAATATGACTCAGAAATCCCACTTATGGATATAAACCCAAGAGATATTAAAGCACAATTCACACAAAAACTTATACATGAATGTTTATAGAACATTGCTCAAGATGGCCAAAAAGTAGAAACATTCCAAATGTCCACTAAAAGATAAACGGATAAATATATGTGGGCTATCCATACAAATGGATATTATTCAGCCATAAAAAGGAATGAAGTTCATGCTGCAACATGGATAAAGCTTGAAAATATCCTAAGTGGGGAAAAAAAAGCCAGAAACAAAAAGGTCATATATTTTATAAACCCATTTATGTGAAATACCCAGATTAGGAAAATCTATAGATTAATCATGTTTAGGGGTTGAAGGGAGAGAAGAATGGGCCATGACTGGTAAGGGGTATAGATATTCTTTTTGTGGTGATGAAAAAGTTCTAGAATAATGGTGATAGTTGCATAATTCTGTTAATATACTTACAGCCATTAAGTTGCACACTTTAAAAAGGCAACTTTTATGGTATTTGATTTATATCTCAATAACAAATTTATTTTTCAAAAAGAAAACTGTACCATAAAAATGAAATAGCTGATCTAACATTCAGGTAAAGGAAGTATTCCTTTTAATCTCTCACGAATAAAATTTACAATAACTTCCATTACCAGTTCCTCTGAAAGCATAGTTTATATTAATGTTTGTTGCCATTTTCAAGTTAGAGGTGAAATTGTATTTCTTATTTTGATAAATCTAAAAGAATGGAACCAACTCTCCGCTAGATGAATGCTTCCTTCTTCAATTTGTACTGATCTGGTACCAAGAGTGCACCTGAGACCACATGCCTTCTCAGACAACAAAAGCCCATTCAGAACTATCTGTGCATACAATGCTCTTTCAGAAGCCAACACTCTCCCCAACACACCAATGTTATTGAGTTTCAGAAATGGCAGTGAACTATTAGATGCTCTCATTCAGAAAATTTTGAGCAAATATTCAAACATTTTTATTTTCTTTTTAATGGATCATTGAACTGAGTTGAAATGAACTAAAATTGGGCAAACCTCAAAGTTACAATGAATTGATAGCCTGTTAGTGTGACTGTGTGTGTGGGACAAAAAGGAAAAGAGAGATGATATTTCTCCAGGTACTTTCATTCATAGAACTTGTGTGTGGTTTTTTTTTTCATTAAATTTATTGGGGTGACATTGGTTAATAAGATTATATACATTTCCAAGTGTACAATTCTGATACATCATATTATATATAGGTTTTATTAGTTCTTAAAAGACTGATCTCTCATTTAGGAATCTTATCGATAGCTTTATTTTCAAGAGGATATATGTGAACTGAATTCATCTGTCTCATAGGATTAGGAGGCGGTGATAAGGCCTGAGAGCCCTCACTTACCCCTTCCGGAGCAGGGCAGATCAGAGCTCCCCTGGCACTTCTTGATGCTCTCCTCAGTCGACAGTGGGCAGGAACGTGGGTGCTCACACTTCTTCCCATACCAGCCTACTTTGCAGTCACATCGTCCACAGTTACATTGTCCATGACCTTCACAATGAGAGCAGTAAAAAAAATATATATATATATTGAAGTCAGAATTCATTTCAACAGGGAATTTTATAAATGAGTCTGGATCTTAGTTAGCAATATTAAACCTTAAAACAAAAGACAAAAGTACAATTTTCTCAAGATCCTAAATACCTAATTTATATTAATTGCTCATAAGGGGTAAAGAAAAGCAACAACTCCAGATATGATGAACAGGCTTATAGGGCTATAAATGTGAATTTATCAAAATTCATATGCATGTGATTGTATTGGCCTGCTACAGCCTAAATAGACTATTTGATGGATTTGACAATTAGTTCATGTTGAAGAAAGCATTGGAAATGGAAAATAATTTGTGAAACAGGGTCTTATCTTTTGGAGTCACCCACACATTTTTTCATTACATTTATTTATTTATTTATTTGTATTTTTATTGATTTCAGAGAGGAAGGGAGAGTAAGAGAGAGAGAGAAACATAAATGATGAGAGAGACTCATTGATTGGCTGCCGCCTGCATGCCCCACAATGGGAATCAAGTCTGCAAGCGGGTATGTGCCCCGACCAGGAATCGAACTGTGACCTCCTGGTTCATAGGTCGACCCTCAACCACTGATCCATGCTGGCTGGGCTCACTTCTTTTTCTTTTTCTTTTCTTTTTTTTTTAACCACACATTACATGTTTATCCTTAAAACCAGTAACCTGTGTGGAGTTCTCACTCTTGAAGACCAAATTACACACACAAATGAGGTCAGGTAAGATGCTGATTTCTTTTTATTTGGACACAGAGCTCCTAAAGAACTATGATAAATAGTGATATGGGATAGAAAATAAAATTCTAATTTTATCAATCAAATAATTGTATTCAAATCCTGATCCTGCTACCTACAGAGTAGGGCTGGTTAAATGACCTCATTGAAGTTTAGTTTCTTCATCTTTAAATGGGATAATAATGCATTATATACCCGTATTTATCAAGAAATATATATATTTTAAAATGCTATATAAAAGTGAGCTGTTATTTTTATTTATTTGAGTCCACATATGTAACCAAGTAGGAATAGGAAGAAAAGCAGGATAACTTCAGTTGAGCTTTTCCTAACTCCTATGGAACATTCAGGTACTCATTACAGATGCAAAATAATGTGGATTTCTACAAAAGCTGCAAAAGATGCATGAAGAATTTTAAAGGAAGTGAAATTACACTTTTTTAAAGTTAATAAAGTATTATGTTAATGGATTAAAATCCATGCTATTTTTCCATTGGCAATTGATATTATTAATTTCAATTCAAAAAAATATTTCTTGAGTATCTACCATGTAACCGAGTCTAAAAATAAATTGCTGTTATCATTAATACTCTGCCTTAGATCTCATAATTTTAAAGGAAAGGAAAATTGTGCTTACTAGTAAATATAGGCTGTCCCAAATAATACCCACACTTTGAATAATTATTAATGCCAATGTTCCTTTTCAGATTTAATCCATTGGAATTAATACTTATTCAAAGTTTGTATATGTTTTTGGGGACACCCTGTATGTATAACATGTGAATAGGATCATTTAGGCCTTCAAATGTGAGAATTCTTATTTTACTAGTTTAATTTATTAGCAATTAGATTTCAGTGGTTGTAGATCCTGTGGCTTTTTGCCATTTATCCCAGCTTAAGAAATTCCTACTCTTCTCCTCATCGCTCATGCAATTTCAAGCCAAATTTGCAAAGAGAGCTGTATTGCAAATGCATAGGTAAATAACAATTTTTAAAACAAAATCTTTAACATTTAAAGTACAATCTATTCTGCCATCTTATAAGAGTTAATTACTTTGAAATTCTTGAAGACAAGATGTTTCATTTTAAGAACATTTAGATCTGCCATGAGGATGCCAGGCAAAGTACAGAACATGCTGTCATATGTGGAAAATCGGTTGACACTTTAACAAAATAAAAATTTGAACAAGAAAGTTAGATTAAAAGGGGGGGACTTTACTCTTGAAAGTGTAAAATAGCTGTAAAAGTTAGAACAAAATATACAGTAGGTTCCAGATGCCAGGAAATCCCTATCCAGGAGAATGCCACCTGCTGCTGCAGTTGTTTGGAATCCTCAGGCAGCAACCTTTGCCGAGGCTGAAGGTCCCAATAATTAGGCACCTAAGCCTATGCTGGGGACACCTGTGACTGAAGGGAGAACAGTCTCAAGTTCTATAGTTGGAACACAGATTTAAGAGTAGTAATTATTGTCCATCTGAGGATCATTCACATGGAAATATTAAAATAACTGTGGTTGAATAAAACAAATTTATAAAGACAGTCAAATTAGTAAGGTATTTTTAAAGTTAAAATATGGCCCAATTAATATCAAAATAAGTCAGATTAATTGTAGATGCATTAACAAATTATGGAAAAATGCAGGTGCTCTAGAAAAAAAATAGCTCTGTTATTATTGTAGCTTCATTTTTTTAATCCTTTGTTATTTCTGTGCTCTGCTATAAACACTAGAGGAAGATGTAGCCTATGATATATTGTACTTCTATTTCCTGTACACTTAATGCAGTATCATGGACCATCTTAAGGATGAATCCTATGAATTTATGCTTCACCTCCAGTCATAAAGGAAACTGCAATTTTTCTTCTAGAGTTCCTAGTTTCCCAATTCATAATAAAAGGTATGACAGAGAGAGAGAGAGAGAGAGAGAGAGAGAGAGAGAGAGAGAGAGAGAAAGAGAGAGAGAGAATCATTTTATAAGGATAAAATAAAGAAGATGAACATGCATGGTTTTGACACACAAAGAAAAGTTTAGAAAAGAGAGGATTTATTTAGCATCAAAATCTTTTAGACTACCATAACGTACACTATCAGAGTATTTTATACACAAATAGAAGAAAGGGCATAAAAGAAATTAGACAACTTGTGTCCCTGGTCTAAATGTGTCACTAGTTCATCTTTTGGGGCCTCATCTCACTGGACTTTATCTTTAAGAGTGAGAGAGCTAAAAGATGTTGGCTTCACCATTCTGATCAGATATGTAATGTTTCCATGCTAGTTTATCAAGCTTATAGAGTATGCCTGCAGGAGTTAATGTCATTGCTTCTAACAAATATTCCTTTAAACTCTGCAAGCAAAGGATAACAAAACAGAAGTAAAAGATACAGATTGTTGTTATTTATTCCTGATATTAAATATGAGAACTGTTTTCAAAAGATCTGTAGGCATACATTAAAATACACACACACAACAACAACAACAATAACAACAACAACAATGGGAGAACAGCATGGTTTTAGTGTTAATATGTACGGTTTACGGGATCACATCCCAATCTGTACCATATGGGTGGGGAGTTGGCAGCAAGACCAGACATCCAGTGTCATCATGGTTGGTTGGGCAGGTAGAACTTAAATAGGCTCTCAAGCCATGATATTGACACCAAAACTGATTTTTTTTTCTTTGCAATTATCTTATTTTATTTTATTTTTTAAACAGAATCATTTTCATTAATGTTTTATCTAAATATATTTTAATGATTTTTACGGAGAGGAAGGGAGATACAGAGAGCTAGAAACATCTATGAGAGAGAAACATCGACCAGCTGCCTCCTGCCCACCCCCTGCTGGGGATGTGCCTGCAACCAATGTACATGCCCTTGACCAGAATCCAACCTGGGACCTTTCAGTCCGCAGACCAACGCTCTATCCACTGAACCAAACCAGTTTTGGTTCTTTGCAATTATTGTTCTCCCTTGATTTAAGCTATCTAAACTCAGAAATACAGGACAGAAGCAGTTTCATTCACTCCACACAAACATTCTTCTGCTATAGTGGACATTCCTTTCTTTTAAAATGCTCATGAGTTGGAATCTGATGTTGACAAGTAGTTTCTTACAAAGTAATATGAAGACAATCAATAAAGAAAAGTTTTGGGGAATAAATTAGATCTAATCAGTACTTGTTATTTTAAAAAATCATTCAATATATTGATTTTCCTTCAAGATAATGCAAACTGAACATACTTAATCATTTCCTTCAGTTTCTTTCCTTAGTGTTTTCATAATACATAATGATAAAATTTCCCACATGATATAGGTTTTATCAAAAGATCCCATTTTACAAACTACTATAAGCCAGGACTAATCTTATATTTTCATTATTTTTGGTAGGCAACACAAGCTGAAAGATGGAGTTTGGGTCACACTGCAGCATAATTTTTCAATTATTGAAATTTAAGAAAGAGACCAGGGTGGTAAGCAATCATCAGGAATAGAAGCATATTTCAGAATCAGAAAGTAAATTCAATGGAGCAGCTCATAGAACTGAAATAACAGTTGGTATACTTTAGGATTCCTGGTCATGTCCTAGCCATTTTAGTCACACCCAAGTTTTGTCAATAATATCTTTGAGGTGTTTGTGTGAGTGTGTGCGTGATGTTTGTGTATGACTAACTACCCATGAACACATGCACCATGTAAATGGTGAAAAATGTATAACAATAAAAAAAAATTAAATAAAGCAAGTTTATTTGAAAACAGGGACTGGATTTTAAAATATTGGTACTTCCATACCCATGATGTAGTAGGCATAAAATATCTACAGGTAAGTGTATTACTGAATAGATGAATGGACAGTGAGAAAGCATTAATAAAATAAGAATGTCAATTAAAAGAGCCAATCCATCAGATTTCTTTTGGATTTTAACAAGACCAACACTCTCTGGATGGCAAGAACAGAAGCTAAAAATAAAGCTGCATTTAGTCTGAACCGTATTACACTCCAGCCTTGCATAAATCTAGAGAGAATATTGAAGTAGTTGGATTACTTTCGTCTCATAAAACTAAGCTATTAACATACTCAGTAATCAGCTGCATGGCACCCTTCCTATGGTGTGACTTAGGCAATTAGAAAGATTGTAAAGACTAATAATTCACTAAGCATAATATATAAAATTACACAGATTTAGTAAGAATAAAGAAATACTGCTGAGATCTTGGTGCCTGCCCAAGATCATAATTATGTTCAGAGGAGCTTAGTTTTATAAGAGTTTTGAGCACCAAGAAGGACAGTTCTTCCTTATTAAAATAAATCGAAGACTTTTATTTTCATCACTTGGAGAGTAAATTACATGAGTATTTGGGCCATATGTTTTCAAATGGCACTTAAAGGCAGTGGGAACTTTTTCAAATTACTTAATTTTTTTGAACCTGTTTCCTCTTCTGTTAAAATATAATCATGTCTCCCTCTCTGAGTTAGTGTGAGTCTAAAATGGAATGAGATATGTGAACAAACTTGGTAAGCATCTATCAGATAGGATCTCTGTTAATGTTTCTTCTTTCCTAAATGTGTCTACTTAACTGTGAGAGGCAGGCTGTGGAGAACTGGACACATTCAGTCCACTCAAATAATGACAAATAAAATCACTATTACAGATTTCACGTCTCATTGTCTTATTTCTTATTGTTCAAACTGCAGCCTATTACCTTAACTCTTTTGCCCATTCCTAACTGTCTCTACCCACACCATGGAAACCACATAAAAATAGTTAATTATTCTCTTCCAACTGCCTTCCATGGCAAACCTCAATTGCTTGACATTCTTGTCTGAAATCTCATAGGATGTGGAAGAATGAAAAATGAGAGAAAAAGAAAAATAAGATAGAAGGAAGAAGGGAGAGAGTAAATAAAGTGCAAAGTTTCAGATTCCAAGTATTCCTTTTTAATGGCTTTTATCTGTCCAACATATAATATTAATTCTAAGCTTAATAACATGCAACATAAATTGTGACCTTATAAAAGGAAGAAGATATCAACTGAAATGCCAATACCCATCTTCACCTCATGGTCCTAGTTCCTCACAATTGAGATAGACCAATTCACAAGAGCCTTAATTATCACTATAATGTATTTATTTTGAAATTTTCTACCTCACTCCCAAATCAGGTTCATAAATTTAACAAGCAAGAGTGTACCCTATGGACAATATAGTATATCAGAAAGCCACACACATTTTTATACATAAAAATTGAGTATATCTTTTATTTTCTTATTTTAAATTGAGTAAATTAATATTTTATCTCACAATCTTAAAATGACATTCATATATATATATTTTTTTTTATTTATTTATTTTTTTTACAGAGAGGAAGAGAGAGGGATAGAGAGTTAGAAACATCGATGAGAGAGAATCATAGATCAGCTGCCTCTTGCACACCCCCTACTGGGGATGTGCCCGCAACCAAGGTACATGCCCTTGTCAGGAATCGAACCTGGGACCTATCAGTCCACAGGCTGATGTTCTATTCACTGAGCCAAACCAGTTTCGGCTTAAAATGACATTCTTAAATGGTGTTCTCTGAGTCTCAATATAGTTTTCATTACCAACTCTGTGCTTATCACTAAATTCTCACATTCAGTCCTGATCCTTTAGACTTACATATTTAATGAGCTAAAAACAATAAATGTTAGGTTGCCATTTGTCCTTTATGACTGATATATTTGACAACTTCTTTCTATATTTTCCATCTCAGTAACATTTACCTAGACAACCAGTCCTGTGACTACAGCACACCACTGCATAAAACCATCACAAACTCCCCCTTGCCTTTACAATAGAGTCAAGCCCTGCAATATGCTGGTGTGATAATAAAGAACATTCATATTAATGAGAGTAGAAAATCTGAAAAGAATAGCATCCCCTCAAGTGAACAGAATTCTTGAAATATTTAGGAAATCCTCCTGAACACGAGGGCTCTTCAGAAGAGGGAACTTTCCATAGCAGGAAGTTTACACAACAGGCTCCCCTCAAGGACACCAGAGGTCTTGTAGCTGTACATTCACACTGAGATAGGGCAGCTCTTTAATCTCCCTTTGCTTTGAATAGACCAGGGGTGTTTTCTATCAATGTGCGCCAACCAAGAAGTCAAGCTTAAAGAGATGTCTGTGCACATGTCTCTGCCTTCTGGATTATCAAACCTAACTGGGCTGCACACCCATAAACCATTTTTGCTAAATGACACTTTCCCAGACAGATCTGACTATTTTTTCCCAATCAAACCCTTAAAAAGTCTGGCAGGTCATATATTTCCCTTTTCATTTAGATCTCAAGCTCCATAAAGTCAAGAATCATGTTTAGCTCCTTCATTGCTGAGCCCAGAAGCCCAGATGCAGTCCAGACCCTGGCAAATACTGTTTCCTCCATAAATATTTATGAAACATTTTTTGAACCCACTAATGATATTCAATTTAAACTAATTTGCAGAATAATTTTGGTATGTAAATTATATTGAATAATTAATGCATTAAAATATCCATGAGAGTTGCATTACCTTAAGTTTTGCAATATATTAATATAGCTTTTCATCATGGTACCTATTTTGTTAATTGTCATAAGGTCTGCCAGTTTTGAATTCTCTGAGTTAAGCAATAGATATCTAGAGCTAATGGTTTTCCTCGGTGGAAAATTAGACTAATTTTAAGGGAGTGATGCATTTTCCTCTCCAGTCTTTGCTCAAAGTATGAATTATCTTAAAGATTTCCAAGTGACTAATAGGAGTGCTGTGGGTATCCAATGTTTCAGAATGCACATTCAGTTCCTTTATAGTTTCTGTGAGAATCAGAATGAATCTTCAAATAGGAAAAATTATATTTTTAAAATTTCAAATAGGAATTTGGAGAGCAGTTACCTGAACAGAAGTCATCAGAATATCTGTCGTAGACAGCTCTACAATCCCGTTCATCACACTCACAGGTGTCTCCATGAATATCTCCCCAGTCTCCAGTTGGGTCAACATCGTGGCAAGAACATTCACCACACACACAAGTTCCTACATGGGAAAAATACGTTTATGTGAGTCTAGTGAGAAAAATTCATGAAAAGAAAAGGCTTATATATTACTTTTTTAAAAAAATCTGTGACTTACTTTATATTTGAAAAAAATACATGTATTCAGAAAAAAAATTATTCCCATCAAAAATTGATAGCAGAGATTTTTTTTAATAAACAAAAGTTACTATTCTAGGTCAATATTTATATAGGATTATGGAATATGTCGTTAGCTCTGTGTTGGTTTGTCTCAAAGATAGTATCCCCAAAATTAAAACAGCATAGGATGAAATCCTTGTCCTCATGAAGCTTCCAATATACTTAACAAAAAAGAAAGCTAATGAAAGAAAAATAAGCAAACAATAAACATCTGACTACTAGCATTTTGTAAACTAGGACATAAATACTGTGAGAAATACTGTAAGAGTTTTGGGAAGAAGAAATACATATAGGGTGAAGTAAGGTAGATGGTCTGGATATGTAAAGAGATTGGGAAATATTCTAGAATTGATTGGAAGTAGGACAAATCAAGAAAAGTCAAGAAAGCAAAAATAAACAAAGAAGGGCAGGGATGGGTATAGGGATCCTAAGGAATCCCTGGAGCAGAAGGTGCGTGGAAGAAAACCCAGGAATAAATTTTGCTGGCTAGGATGAGGTCAAGTTATAAAGTATGTTGGATTAGACGGAGAAATATAACTGTGGTCACATGTAGATTTACAAAGAGGAAGTGCCAATTATATTTACTTTGTGTGAGTTATCAATAATCATCTTTAGAGCAACCAGCTAATCATCATTTGAGGGAAAGATAAAGTTAAATTTCTTTCTTACTTCTCACATTAGAGCAAATTGTAGTTAGATTGAAGATTTAAAAATATAAACTAAAATCACAAATTATAAAATAAATATTTTATTCAAAATCCCAAAATCAAATTACTATAAAGAAAAATAGAAATAGATCTATATAAAAATGTAAAAAGTTGGTTGCAAACAAAACACCAAAAACAAACAGTTGGAATAAATAACCACATGTGTGCAAAAGACAAAGAATTACTTTCACAAACATAAACAATTCTTAGAAACCAATATGTAAAGGACAAATATGCCTAAAGCAAAATAGACAAAGGCAAAAAGAACACCAATCAGAGAATTTGTAGAGATGTACTGAGGATAGACAAACATACAAATATTTACCACTCAACCTATGATTACTAAGGGGTGGGGAATCTGTAAAACAATAGTGAGTTAGAATTATTTTGGATGTCAGATTGGTAGAGATAAAAAGATGGCTAGGACAAAGATTGGTGAGGTATGAAGTACAAAATAGTACAACTCTGGATGTACCTTTTTTTATTTTTTCACAATATGTACTCTGAAAATGTGGGAATTTTAGCATAAGAATCTACTTCAAATGATATGTCCCCAGAAAAGGAAAAGTACACAAAAGTACTTGTTCAGGAATATTAAACATGATGGTATTTATGTTATTGAAAGACAACTAATGATGTAAATATCAATCAAAAAGGAATTAGTGCAATGTGTAGCTTGGATTTAGCAAGCAGCCATTAAAGGTAAAAATTAGGTTTTTCCTCTGTGAGCATGGAAAGATACCCAAAATACATGATTAAATGGTGAGGGGAAAATTACAGCCCAGCCAATGTGATTCAGGGGTAAAGTACCAACCCATGCACCAGGAGGATAGGGTTCAATTTTTTAAAAATATATTTTATTGATTTTTTACAGACAGGAGGAGAGAGGGATAGAGAGCTAGAAATATCAATGAGAGAAAATCATCGATCAGCTGCCTCTTACACCCCCCCCACTGGGGACGTGCCCACAACCAAGGTATATGCCCTTGACTGGAATCAAACCCAGGACCTTTCAGTCCACAGACAGACGCTCTATCCACTGAGCCAAATTGGTTTCGGCTAGGGTTCAATTTTTAGTGCACATGGCTGGGTTGCATGCTTAGATTCCCCAATAGAAGGCAATAGATCAGTAATTATCTCCATCATTGATGTTTCTCTCCCTTCCTCTCTCTGAAGTCAATAAAAATATATTTTTAAAAATTAAAAAATACTATGTCTTAATTTTTGTATTAAATGAAAAGAAAATACATGACAGGGAGCACACAAATGATAAATTCAAAAAAAAATAAATAAAAACAGACCAAAATATTATGTACCAAAATGTAAAAGGAGGTTATACCTGTATATTAAGATTATGGATCATTTTCTTCTTTACTATCTGCATTTTTAAAGATGAATATGCATTGCTTTCACAATAAGTTAAATGATGTGTGATTAAACAAAAGTGGACAATAAAGGACATTTACTCTATCACTGATGAGCTGTCTTCACAACATTGGGTTTTTGGTCCTTAAAGATGGGCTGAAAAGGAAGATGAGGTAGACATGTGCAGGATTAATGTCTCTCTCCTACCAGGGAGCAATGATAAGGAGAGACCTAGGGTAGACATAAGTGGTACCTCTGGGAAAAAAACAAAAACTCATTGTAGTGCCTGTCCTGGCCTGCCTTCACACACTACTGAATCTCACCTGCTATCAGCCTCATTGAGACATGCTACTTCCTGTTCTGCCTCTGCCTGATCTCCAAATCAGAAAACTTTCAGCACCAGATGAGAGGGAAGGTAGGAGGGCAGGAGGTGAGACGGAGAGGTGGCAAATAGTGTGTGTTTGTGAACGAAGTCTGCCTCAGAGCACACATATCGCTGCAGAACCAGGACCTATCCACAGTTCAGTCAGCTCCACTTTGCTCCTCTCTCTTCGCCATCTAAATGGTATTTCCCACTGTAACACAGTTCAAGTTTCCTACAATGACGTTCTTATAGTGACTACAGACCCTACTGAATAAAAGAACTGAAGCAGAAACGGGTCTTTATATATGAAAGGAAAACATAGCGTGAATTAGTAGGATTATATAGTCGGATCTATTCTATATAAACTGAAGAGTAAAATCTTTTAAAGGGTTTTTGTTCCAAATTCAGGTTTTTTCCTTTTTTTTCTCTATGTTCAGATACATGGCACATTTTACTATTCTATGTCAGTCTTTAAAAGGATAAAATTGGTTGTGTGGTTAAGGTTTTCCCTGGAAGCATTATCTATGAAAATGCATCATTCACTTATAGCTACTGTTATAAATTGTAATGTAAATATCTGTGTTTTCCAATGGTCTTAGGCGACCGACAGGTTGAGAAGCGCTCCTGTAGAGACTAAGACCATTGGAAAACACAGATATTTACATTATGATTCATTAATAGTAGCAAAATTAGAGTTATGAAGTAGCAACGAAAATAATTTTATGGTTGGGGGTCACCACAACATGAGGAACTGTATTAAAGGGTTGAAGCATTAGAAAGGTTGAGAACCTCTGACATAGAAATGAAAAAAATATTTTTCCAGTTTCTAGATTTTTATATTTTTTCTATAAAAGGAAATATGACCACTTAGTCATTTCATCAGGTAGGCAACAAACTCCTAAAGCATGACTCTCTTTATCCATCAGCCCAGCTGATGAATTTACAGTTTATATTAACAATTAACTCAATTTAAATGATATTTTGTCAATAGTAATGTATTTTTAAATGTATGCATAAGGCCAGCCTAAATTTCATATTGCTTTTGGTACCATTTCCAAGTACATTGTGTTCAATATAACATTTCTATTATTGTATGTAAAAGTTAAATGACTCTATGTCAATTCTGTATTTCCACCAAGACTTCAATTGACTCATCATCAAGAGGAGATTTTTTTTTTAATGTTCTCTGGATAATTAGATGCTCATGCTGTAGATGGTTCTGTTAGTCAAGAGACATTTAACAGAAGTGTCTACAAGAATTGCCTTTTAGCTGCACTATGCTATTTCTGGACGGCCGCCAAAGAAATTACAGTTCCTATGTTAACTGTTTGCTCAGTGAAGCTTAATGAATGACAGTAGCTTTCTAATTTTTCTGTTTTCTACTCAATAAAAGACAAAAAAAGAGAAAATTGTTGGTATAATGGATGTTGATTTTCATCAATGTCAATGACTATCAAAGATGACTTCCTCCCACACAGAAGGAAATGCAGAGAAAAGAAGTGTTAACAATTAAAAGCTCTGTTTGCCTCCCAAACCCATAGTAATGTGTATGAATGACACACCTCTGTTACTGCAGATTTTGCCATCTGGTGATGTGCATCTTCGCTTGCTCTCCCAGGGGGTGATATCACACTGGAATTCGCATTTATCTCCATGCCAACCAGCATCGCAGTAACAGTTTCCACAGTAACACTTTCCATGGCCTTTACCCAAAATGAATTATATACAGTGAGGGGAAAAATCAACTTTAAAAGCAGAATTAACTTTCTACCTCTTTATGATCATTGTTGCTTTCTGAAATAATATATCTGTTTCATACTTATTGCTTATAAAATCAAATTAAGTAGCTTCTCCCCAAAACAGTATAGCTATGCCTATACTTACATAATCACACACACACACACACCCTGAGCAAGTCAAAGTGTCCTCTAACTTGTCCTAGCCAGGCAGCTGATTAAAATGAATGCAATTTAAAGAAATGATAGGAAAGACTGTGAAAGTCTATTACATTCAAATCTCAAATGCATGCACCAGACTCAAATACATTTAAGTATTTGCTCTAAGGGCACTTCTTGAATTGGTCATTAAAATATTTTATTTGAAATCAATGACTGAGAAACCAATGGTGCGTATTTATTCAGCTGCATATTATTAATAACTTAAACCAGAGGAAATGTTTCATCTTTTCATTCAACTGTATCCCACAAGCTGTTGTGTTCCACCACATGGAAAAGAGCTTTTCAGCTAAATCAATGTTTAGAACTCATAAGATCAATGAAATATCCTAGACCCTGGATCACAGTCAAATTCCTACCATAATTGTGAAGGGGATGCAAATGATAGGTAAATGATATGTGTCCAGGTATCACCACACCCTTTCAAACTGTTACCTTACTTGTTTGTATTTGCAACCAACAAATCTGTAATGAATCATCATGTCATCACTTCCTGTATCTGTATCTATCGATCCTTCTACAAATTCCCAAAGATGGCAATTATTTTATATCACAAGACTCGGAAACTTGAGGGCTACCCCAGAAAATAGCAAGACAACCTTGTACTAAAAGCTTTTCCTATGAGTCAGGATTTTAAAATCCTTCCTATGTCTTCCCTTTTTGTAGTTATGCCATCCAAACACGAATGTGTGTTTCTTGGTCTTGTAAATACCATAAAAACCAGGGTCACAATGTGTTTTTAATCTATTTTTTTCTGTAATATAGGAATTTATGTTTTATCAGAGTCTATGGCTAAAGCCTTTGTACTTCCCTCTTTTTCCCCCCACAGCCATAATCCCAGAGGATCCATGGAAAACTGACTGTGAAGCTACTTTTCTTTCTAAACACTATGGTTTTCCTGGCCAATGGCAAGAACATCAGTAGAGTTTTTTGTGCAACTCTTGTCCTTCAGATGAGACTTCTCCCAAGTGGGCACACATCAGAGAGACAAAGAGGAAGAACAACAAGTGAAGAGAAACTGCTCTAATGAAATACAGAGAAAGAGACCCATGCATACAATACCATGTTTTCTGTCTGAGTAAGCAGTAACTGGGAAATCCATTAAACATACACACACACACCACACACACACACACCTTTTTTTAACCTAATATGATAATTTAATTTTAATTTATTCACATAAGCAAATACAAAGGCTATTAAATTATACATTTATATTTATAATTACATATTATAATTATATGTATATATTATACATTTTATTTATGAACTTAAGAATATCTCTGCATGTACACACATACAATATGACATTAAAATGCTATATCACAAGACTCAGAAACTTAAGGGCTAACCTGGAAAATAGCAAGACAACAGTGTACTGAAAACTTTTCTTATCAGTCAGTTTAAAAAAAAAAAAAACTTGATTAATTTCTTAAACCACAATTTATTTCTGCTGTAATTTCAGGAAATTTATGTAAGCTGCTATATATGTAAGGATTACTTTGACATTAACCAATGATGATAATATCCACATTCTTCACACCAAAATCTTTGTATATTTATAAAATTTAGTATTCGATTTCAGTTTTACTAAAAAAAAAAATCATTGAGGTAGAGGTGAAAAAGAAAAGAAAAATCATATAAAGCTACACCTTTATGTATGTTTAAAATGTGAAATAAGACATATCTGAACAATTGAGATAAAATGAAAGCTTCAGGACAATAACATTTTGGACAATAAACATTCTTTGCTTTGGGTACACTGATGGAGCAAAAAAATGTCATTTTGCATTGCTTCACTGATGGACTGTAGAATCACCTCTCAGCAAACTGGCTTCCTGTGAATGACAGGTGGAAAGATCTAATAGCCCAGTCAATGTCACCCCCAGAGGATTTGCCCGAGAGCTGGGGTCTGTGGTCAGAGATTTGGCATCATGAAATTGCTTAAGCTTCAAATAAATGGAAATCTAAGGGAAAGGCTGAGAGTTAAGAATATCCTGTTGTGTTGTTGTTTAATGTTTACATTTACAAAGGTAAATAGACTTTGCTTTGGTGATCTGCATCACAACACTTTGGCCCCAGGTATCTTCCACTCCTTTTTTTTAATTTTTTATTTGTAATAATTGGAACTGAAACAGCAGGAGGACAAATACATCATATTTGTGGGTGTATTTATCTAATTGTTCGAATTATTTTGGACTGAGCCCTTTAGCAGAATTCTCTGTGCAGCATATAGCTTAGGTCACTGACTTGGAAAAAAAGAAGACTTTTGCTTTTTTTGTTTTTGTTTTATTCTGGTGGATTGTCCATCAAGGAAGCCAGAACAAAAGAACCAAGCAGACCTAAATAAGAATATCTGGATGACCACAGGAATTGAAGCTCTAATTTGTTTTCCTAAGCAAAGGGACACTTGGTCTTATGTTTCTGACACTTTCTCAATGGCCTCTGGTTCCTCCTGGCCCTCTTTGGCCCTGATCCTTCCAAGGAAATACTCTTCTGAAATCACCCAATTTGCAGTCAGAATAGGATTCCATGGGCAGGAATCTTGTCAGAGATAAATGAAATAAGCAATTGCTTGTTAATAGAAAGGTGATCTCACAACAAAATAAATTATAAACTCCAGAGAAGGGTTTACCTAAACTAAAGGGATTTTCATTGCTCTCTGCTTTCCTCTCCTGTGTCAGTCATGGTTGCAAATTGAAACTCTAGGAACAGGCTTGCAGGTAGGTAAATAGAAGAAAGGGACACTATGGGTGGTGAGGAGGAGATCTCATAGAATACCACCTCCTGGGCACTGATGCAGTTCTCATTGGTGAAGGGTCAGAAATACAGTCTTTGGAGTTACCTAATGAATGTGAAATACTTATAGCAGTGATTGGCACAAGCAAGCATGCAATCACTGGTACAACAGAAAAAAATAATTTGAGTAATGGTGGTACATAATAAAGATTATGAAAACTGTTATTTGTGTGTATGTTGGGGGAGGGTGTAAATAAATACTACGCTAATAATCCTATTGGTCTCACGTCTCCAATAGGACCTGAGACTATTTAAAGGCCAATGACTTAGAAAGAGAATGAAATTAAAATATGCAATTGAATGATTGGGAGAAAAGAGACATTAAAAGCATATAAGATGAGCAGAGAAGATGAAGTACAACTTGGACCACTTCAGAACTATGTACTATTGTAGTTGGCCTGCTGACTCTAGATCTGACTCTCCTCCAGCAATAATCTGATTTTGCATTTAAAAAGTACAAGTTACTTTGAATGCCTTAGTATAACTTTCCTTGTGTAAAATGTTTTTCAAATAATGTAAGTTCAGATAAAATTCATAAAGCTGGTACAGAAATTTACATAGAGATCAAATCACAATAAAACAGGAGAAAAATCAAGTCATTTATTAATTTCTGCAGTTAACATACATACCTCCACATATTTCTTCTGTTTCATCATCTATACATTCTCTATCATCACACTCACAAAATTTGCCATAAACTAGTCCATTTCCATCTGAATTATCACATTTACATCTGCCACAGTGACATGTACCTAAATCATTAAAACAAAGCAAAGACTATTTGTCAAATGCATATAAATTATACTTAATGAATTTTAACCTCTTTCAAAGAGAGACAATTCAAGTTAATTTACTATTGAAATTATGTACTTTTTGTATATGCTGAGATAGGTAATAATACATTCTTAAGATTATTGTAGCACAGAAATTATTTTTTCTAGCACAACCATTATGATTGACCTCTAATAGTTTCATGAATTTAAATTTGACCTCCTAAGTGCAAAGCTGTTTATTAATGTCCTTCCAAACAATGCATGAATGAATACCTTCTGATTTACCTGAGTGTGAAGTGAACTAAAGCAGAAAATTCTAAGCTTTGTGAGGAAAGTAACCTTACTTATCTGCCTCACCAGTATTTACTCAATGCTCGGTACAATATTTGAGCATACTATTTGTGTAATAAACATTTGGGGAATTCATTATCAAATGCATAAATGAAAAATGTAGCTGTCCCTAATAATTTCATATCCACAGTGTCAAAATGATATACATATTGTAATGACAAGGGACAAGGATGGGCTTTCTTAGGCAGAGAAGCTTAGGAGTTCATCAGAACCACAAGGCAGCTCAGGGTGATAGAGGCACTAGTGTTATCTGGTCTATCATTTTTCACATACTCAGCCAAGTTTGAGGCTTTAACTACAACCCCTGAGAGTGATTTCACTGACAGTAAAACAGCATTTAAATGATACTGAGAGATAGAATGTCCATTTAAGGAACTTCCTTTTGAAAGTTACTTAATTGATCATCACAACATTCAAGACAAATTGATATTTAACCACTCACCAGACACCACCTTAGACTCTAGAATATAACAGATCAACTCAGTCAAATCCTTCTCTCAGATTTTTTATTTGAGCAGAACTCAATGTGATAAAGTAAATGGAGAAGTGCAAAGTGTTGCAAAAGCACATAGCACAGGGATTTAACTGACACCTGAGAGTCAAAGATAGGGTCCCTGGGAAAGTAGTTCTTATTTAAGCTGAAAACTGAAACCAAGCCAAAATAAAGCTAAAAAAATGAGAGATACTGAAGAACAACAACGTGAAAAGTGGCATAAAAAGAATTAGGCAATTAAAGGTGCAATTTATGGAAGTCTTATCCTATCTAATAAAGAGGGAATATGCTAATTGAAGCTGATGCTGTTGCAAAGATGGTGGCACCCAGAGCCAATAAGGAGTGACATGCTAATTAACTGACCTGCCCTCAAAGATGGCGGTGCGCATAACCATAAGATGGTGGTGCCCAGTCCCCTCAGCCCTGCCAGGGCAGCAGGTGCATGGCAAGGTCAAGCTTAATCCAAAGTAGGCCTGGCTGCTCCCTGTGTCAGCCTCAGGAGTCCCCCAGTTCCCTCAGCCCTCTAGTCTCCCAGGGCCGGCCTGAGGCACAGGCAAGCCTCAGATGGTGGTTGCCCAACCACCCAGGGCTGCCTGAGGCTCAGGTAACCAGGGCCAGTCAAGACTTGCGCTGTTGGCAGTGACAGCAGCAGAGGTGTGATGGAGTATTGCTTTTCTCTGATCACCGGATCACCTTCTGCCCTTGAGGACTCCTGGACTGTGAGAGAGGGCAGGCTGGGCTAAGGGACTCCTCCTCCAGTGCATGAATTTTCATGCACCGGGCCTCTAGTATGTCATATTTAAAATTTTGAACTGTAATCCAAGAATAATGAGGAGCCAAACATACATTTGCAACAATGGAGTCATTTGGTAATTTATGAATTTTTATCAGATTACTCTAGTTGTCATATGAAGAATAAACTGAAATGAGGGGAAAGTATATATGAGAAAATAATTATTGTATAGAAGGTAGAAGCTGACTGAGGTGACGGCAAGGACTTTAGAAAGAAACAAATACACCTTCTGTAGGAGAATAGACAAAACTTGGTGGCTGATTGGGCTTGACTTGGTGAAGAATAGGGAAGAACTAGAGATGATATTGATAACTGACTTGAGCCATTCGATACTAGAGATTCTATATGTGACCTACTTGAAAGATTTTGTAGATGTCTAGGCAAATCCAGGTTTTAATCCTCACTAGCTATATTTTTTTAAAGTATACCTTTTATTGATTTTTAGAGAGAGAGAAGAATAGAAAGGGAGAGAGAGAGACATGTATGTGAGAGTGAAACATTAACCCACTGCCTCTTGCACACCCCCTACTGGGGATCAAGCCTACAACCTAGGAATGTGCCCTGCCAAAAAATCAATCCCAGCAACCTTTTGGGGCATGGCACAATGACAAACCAAATAAGTCATACTGGCCAGGGCTAGCTATACCTTTTTGAGGTCATTACTTTAATCTTTAATTCAAAATACCTTTATACAAATTATATCTGCCTCATAGAGCTGCTGTGAGGATCAAGTGATAAATATCACCCAGTCATCTTTCTAAAAACACTACTATGTCTAGTATATAGTAGTTTTTCAGAAAAATTTGGTTTTTCCTCTCCTCACATTAAGATACTTGGTATATTTCTCCAGGTACACTTTACATTTATGCACCCCTATTTTCATACCCTCTGGATGATGCTGTTACTCTAGTCACTTGAAATTTGTTATTAGCTATAATACTAATTTTTATCTTGCAGTCACATATAAATGTGTTATTTTGTAGAATTTGAACTTGTTATTTTTCTTCCTGGAGAATGCATGTATGAATTTTACTTTTATTAAACTTCATATTCTTGTGTGCTTTTTTCTGAAAATGATTTTAACTTATAAAATTTCATTTCAAATCTAATTCTATAATTCATGGTACTGCCTCATTTCAATTTTTTCTTTAATTTTCTTTTATTGTCACATTTATGCTGTCTTTCAACCATCCACATATGAATTCATTAAATTTTCTTGTTCCCTATTACATTATTGGAAAACTATAGGTGATAATGAAATGAATAAAATTATAGAAGATAATAAGATGAATAAAATTAAGGCTAAGTAAATCATAGACCAGGCAGAAAGAGCTAAATGATCAATAATTTATACAAGGGTGCACAAAAGTAGGCTTATAGTTGTAATAAAAAGATAATAAATAGTATTACAAGAATAAACTCTGTTTCATATACAACTGTAAACTTACTTTAGTTAATCTTTGTGTATGTGTGTGCATGTATATATGCATAAATTTATAATATTTTATATATATATATAAAACCAGATGTGGCAAAGACATTTGCAATAGATTTGTGACAAACACTTCATAGAAAGTATAAACTTAAACCCTAGTCTGGCTCTGTGAAGGAGGAAATGCACAATAAAAGAATAAGTTCTAGAGTTGGCATTTAAGCATGGATAGAATTTCAACACGTGGAAATGAAGAAAAGATGTGATATTGAGGAAAGAACTTGAGCTAAGCATTATGAGTGGGGAATTAAAGAACAGTGAAGCATCTGACCTGAGTATGGAGAAAAGGGTAGGTTGAAGCCAGATAGTAGAGGATCAAGACTACTAGTGAAAAATTTTAGAATTTATCTGTTGGAATTCTGGGAGTCTTTGTAGTTTTGGAAAGAGGTATAACATAGAAATGTATGAGTTATTTTCAGGAAAGATGGGAGGAAACAGTCTCTTCCTCTGAATTCTACAACTTCTCACTGACATCTCCCACAGGCAGGCTCACTACCATCCACACATTGGAACCATTCCTGGCTGATGCAGGAAGCTTACAACAGCCCAAAGACTTCCTGTCTCACCTACCAAGTAGAAATCACAATTGAGGCTCCAAGATATGGCAAATGGAAGACTAGGCAAAAGTGCCAGACTCTGGTGTTATTGCTGTGTCATACTGCTTCTCTCTCTCTTGGTTGCCAGTTAACTCAGGGTCTAAGACTGGTCTTCTGCTTTATGCTAGATTATTTTAGCACAGTCACATTCTGACTAATGTAGCTGTCTCTCTCTAGGATAGCTTCCCACTTTTGAACATTGGCCTATACCTTTGTGCAATGGCATCACACTTCACTTCACCCTGCACACTGTGCTTGCCTTTCTGGGCCCCTACAAAGTCAGAAGATTCTGGAACTCCATTAGTCCCCAGCTTCATTTCATCCTGCCCTTCAGTCTTATGCCCCACTCCATTTACCTCTTTCCTCCCTTCTGCTCCAAGCTACTTCCAGAAAACTACATTGTAATATGAAGTGGAAAGAAAGATTAGTAGAAAGAACTCATACACTAATGCAGTTTGAGGGGAGTGGTCCTGAACTAGGCTGGTCAAAATAGGACTATAGGCTATAAAGAACATTGTTGGGTCAATTGAAAACACTGGAATATGAATGGCAGATTGCATAAAATAATTGTATTAATGTTAAAAATTATAGGGGTACAGATACCTGAGAAATATGTTTTGTACCTCACTAAATGTTTTTATCTATTAAAAGAATTATGTAAAATTTCTCCTTAAAGATATCTTAATGTATTGCATCACATGTTTAGTTTCTTATGTTGAAACTTCTTTGGATTCCTAAGCTAAAATCTACTTGTTGAGTATATTGTTAAAAAGAAGGGGAAAAACACCCCAATACCCTAAATTTAACTTGAAAACAAAATAAATAAATACATAGCTGAGACCAGTTTGGCTCAATGGATAGAGCGTCGGCTTGGGGACTGAAGGGTCCCGGGTTCGATTCCGGTCAAGGGCATGTACCTTGGTTGCGGGCATATCCCCGGTGGGAGGTGTGCAAGAGGCAGCTGATCGATGACTTTCTCTCATCAATGTTTCTAACTCTCTCTCTCTCTCTCTCCCTTCCTCTCTGTACAAAATCAATAAAATATATTTAAAAATAAATAAATAGAAAGAAAGAAAGAAAGAAAGAAAGGAAGGAAGGAAGGAAGGAAGGAAGGAAGGAAGGAAGGAAGGAAGGAAGGAAGGAAGGAAGGAAGGAAGGAAGAAAGAAAGAAAGAAAGAAAGAAAGAAAGAAAGAAAGAAAGAAAGAAAGAAAGAAAGAAAGAACAAAGAAGCAAACAAAATTCAAGTATTATTATTTAAGGAAGTTTGGAAAGCATAAAGTTTTCAAAACAAAATAAGCTATGTGGGGATGTGAGGGGTGAGTGTATGGGTACACACACATTTGGAGGGGTGAATATTATGAACTGGAAGTAGAGAAATCTGATTGAGAGAAAAGAAAAAGACTAAAAGAAGCAAGGATATCTGTAAACACAGAAAGTGACCTGGCTGCTGAGACCATTAGTCATGGCCTCTGATTGGCCCATTCACATCTTGCATTGGATATGGCTCTGATTCCTGGGAGCAGGAGCAAAACAACCTCACTGCACTTAGGTTGCACAAGAGCAATTTGTTGCAAATCAAAAACTGTGGGAAAGTCTTATCTCTGATTGCAGGACTCGACCAACAAAGTGAGCTTCAGGAGGGAAGATATTCATGCATGTAGTCAAATCCTTGCTTATAAAGGAAGAGCAAAGGCTCAGACCACTGGAAGTACATAAGAATTACACAAGAGTTTTAAAAATCAATGATAGTCCAGACCATACCCTGAGACAACTGAATCACAGCCTCCCTAAGACATCAACATTCTCAAGTTTAATCAGGTTGCAAAAAAGCTGATTTTGAGGCTCCAAGTGACCAAATGTTATGAGTATTTAATTATAGTAATACTAGAGGCCCAGCACATGAAGTCATGTGACCCCACCCACCTGTGCACACCTCTCCATGCCCGCAGTCCCGCCCACCTGCACATGCCTCGCTGTACCTGCCCGCCCACAGACTGGCAGCCTTGCTATGTGATCAGAACCTGTGGGCCACGAGGGAGGGACCGAGAGGTGCTCCATGCATCTCCTGGTCACCTGTCATTGGTTGTTCCAGCCTTCCAGTGTTATGGCCACTGGCCTTTTATAATGTAGACAAGAAACACTAAAGCCTTTAGGGTTTAGTTTTGGACAACAACCCTGCTTCTTTAATACTATCAATTCAATTTATTAAATAAACATTAACAGAGTTGTATATTATATACATGCCAATGGAGATATTTTACTTGTAAGGTTTAATCTGTGTCAGGTAGTCATCTATGAAATTTAAAAGTTAGTATTTTAAAAATCAAAGACAGATTCTATTTTCATTTTAAAAATACTAATAATGAGGAATAGAGGGATTGACTGTCCCAATGTAACAGAACTAATAAAATGAGGAGGTGGGATTTGAACTTAGACAATTTGGCTCTAGGATACTTGTTTTGATCATTGAACAATGGAAAATGAGCATAATAGTTGTTTTTTTCTGCCCTCAGGAAAATGTTAATGTATTGATGACAAAGATTAGGTATGAGATGACCTTTCTAATGAGAAATGCTTTGGTTTATCATATTTTGCTACATCACTATTCATCATCTCTGTCCATTCCCGAATAATGGGCTCTGGATCAGATGTTATCACAGATGGATAGGGTCAATCCTATTTTTTTTTCATGGTACAGTTTGGGAAGTGAATCTTCTGGGATTCAGGGCTATCAGGGTACCAACATCAAGCTGACCAACACAAATTCTTCAAGGAATGGGACTCCTGCCTTCTTGCTGTCAGGGTTCAGGGTGTGGTTGAACAGGATTTGGGGGTGTCAGAGCATGGACAACAAGCTGACCAACAGCCAATTCTGGGAGAAATGGGGCTTCTACCACCCTGCTGTCAGGGTCCAGGGTGCGGGAATCTGGCTTCTGCCTCCCTGCTCTTAGGGTCTGGGGTGTGGGTGAATGGGATTTGGGGTTATTAGGGGGCCAAGAGCAACCTGACCAATTCCAGGAAGAATGGGGCTCCCACCTCCCTGTTGTCAGAGTCCAGGTATCCAGCTCCCGCCTGCCTCCTGTCAGGGTCAGGGGTGCAGATGAATGGGATTTGGGGCTGTCAGGGTGCCAACAGCAAGGTCTAGGTCAGTGCTTCTCATAGCTACCAGCTGGTGGTCTGGTCATTGGTCGTTCTGGTCATTATTGCCATAATAGTCATTAGGCTTTTATTATATAGGATTGGCTGAAAACCATTGAAATTGAAACTGCAGTTATTTTATTTTTTAATAGGGCTTGGATTATTAATTTTAACAGCTTTTCTATAAATTTCAAAATATTTTTAAATGATTTCTGTGAGAGGTAAAAATATTTTGACCAAACAAAAAAGCTTGCTGTCACTATATTTTTTAATGAGTGTCACATAGTGCATCAAAAACTTCTATTCAGTTAAAAAGGTTTGGTTTTATTTTATGCCTAACAACTCTGGATATGTAACAGAAAATAGTTTATATAAATAATTTTTCAAAGATTTATTTCACCATTCAAAATCAGGGCTGATAACGTACATCAAATGTTATGGGGTGTTGTTTCCAGTGAATTTCCTACTTGAAGGAGGCATTTGGAACAGCTGGCGAATATCAAACTTGCCAGTCTCAGCAAGATGGCATTTTTTTTCTATTGATTTATCTGAATTTCATTTCTAAAAAATATACTCAGAAGCAGTCTCATTCAGAGGTTCAATATTCCAAAATGCATAAGTACTTCAATTACAAACCCAAATTTGATTATTTCACTTAAGAATCTTCATAGAATCAAATTCTTACCTGCATTAGAGCAGATGACATCTTGAGAATTCTTGCACAGTTGGTTACTTTTTTTCTTTGTCAGATCACAATTAGTTGGATACTGGCAAGCATCCCCAGACCATCCTTTGTCACATTTGCACTTTCCACAGTCACATTTACCATGGCCTAATGATTTAACAACATCCAGTTAGACTCAAATTGTTTTCCAAAAGACAAAAAAAACCCACACATTATTATATCGATAACTAAAAGACTTATGGGTAATGTTGGTTCAAGATTGAGCTATAATAAATTCAAACATTATAGTGACTAAAGGGTAATATTATATACAGTATGTTATATATACTGTATATAATATTACAGTATAATGGAGTATATAAAATTTATTTAAATAACCAACTTTGAGAAATCATGCTAAAACATTAATTTATAGTGACATTAGGATAGTTAATAAATCAGAAGTGTAATAAACATTAAAAAAATCTAGCATAGAAAAAAAAAACACATCTCAGTAACTCCACATTGCAGAGACAAAAGCCCAGTAAAAATCATTTTTATGTAAGTACACTTTATAGCACATGAAACTACAAATTATGAGTAAGGAATTTTACATGAATCTCCACTGAATTAAACTTTGGCCTTCTATTAACTTGAATCTAACATAATAAAATTGTGTACATATATAAATATCACCTTGGGTAAGATTGACATGAAAGTTAAATATATAGTTTGTTTCCCAATGAGGAAATTTGGTTCAAGAATCAAAAGAATAAGACCCACATTCATCTATTGCCACACAAGTTTCTCAACCTTTCATGCTCCCAAATCTACATTTTGCTGTTTTTATTGCTGGGGTCATTAACTTTACTAAATCTGCTTAATGAAACCTACTAATGTTTTTGTTTGTTTGTTTGTTTGTTTTAATATATACTTTACCATTTTAACCTTTTTTTTTCATTTTAACCATTTTTAAAAATATATTTTATTGATTTTGTACAGAGAGGAAGGAAGAGAGATAGAGAGTTAGAAACATCGATGAGAGAGAGTCATTGATCAGCTGCCTCTTGCACACCCCCTACTGGGGATATGCCTGCAACCAAGGTACATACCCTTGACCGGAATGGAACCCGGGACCCTTCAGTCCCCAAGCCGACGCTCTATCCATTGAGCCAAACTGGTTTTGGCTACTAATGTTTTTTATTGGCTACATATTAATTAGACTGAAGAACAAAATTGTATAATCCTTGGCCCTTCGCCCGAAGAATTTACAAATTCAAAATTGAGACTGACTTGTGAAGAGAATTGATGTGAGACTTTCTGTTAAGTTTGAGCAATACGGTTTGTGATCTATAGAAATAAGAAGGAAGAGACTTTCTGGACTTACTGACCTTCAGATAGGCCTTTAAAGGTGAGGAGAGCTTGAATGGGTTGCAGAGATAGTATTCTTTTTTATTTTGTTTATTTTTTTTATTGATTAAGGTTTACATATGTGTCCTTATCACCCCAATGCTCCCCCACACACACCCTCCACTCATACCCTCACACCCCTGGTGTCTGTGTCCACTGGTTAGGCTTATATGCTTACAAACAACCCTTTGGTTGATCTCTCCACGTTACTCCCACCCTTCCCTACATTCCCTCTGAGGTTTGAGGATCTGATGGATGCTTCTCTGTCTGGATCTGTTTTTGTTCATCTGTTTATGTTGTTCATTACATTCCACAAATGAGTGAGATCATGTGATATTTATCTTTCTCTGACTGGCTTATATTATAATATTACTAGAGGCCTGGTGTAGGACATTTGTGCACTGGGGAGGGAGGGGGTCCCTTAGCCTGGCCTGCACCCTCTCGCAGTCCACCCCCTAGGGGTCCTTAGTGCTGCTGCAGAGACAGGAAAGGCTCTCACCATTGCCGCTGCACTCACCAGGCATGAGCCTGGCTTCTGGCTGAGTAGTGCTCCCCCTGTGGGAGCATATTGACCATCAAGGGGCAGCTCCTGTGTTCAGTGTCTTCCCCCCTGGTGGTCAGTGTGCTTCATAGCAACCAGTCATTCTGCCATTCAGTCAATTTGCATATTAGGGTTTTATTATATAGGATGTCTTAATGTCTGAAATTCATAGACTACAATGGAATGGAATCATTGATCTGGTGCTAACATTTTTTTCAATGTGGCTGCCAAAATCCACTTGATGAGGTCCAGATGGTCCGTCAGATTGAATGGCTCAGAGGTCCCATTTGGGCAAGTTCAACAGAGCCTTCATCTGTGATTGGCTGTGACTTTAAAAGTCCTCTGTGTGTGACCCAGCCCATGTAAATGTTTCTATTCCTGTTGCATTTTTCGAATTAATTATTCTACTCCACAAACAAAATCTTGCATGCACCGTAATTGTAATTCACTTCATCCAGTGCACATTACTCTTTCAAATTGATTGTATCATTTTGCATTCCTGTCTGGTCCTACATGATAATGTTAATCTCCACCAACTTGGTATCATTCACAAACATAAGTGATCTCTCCTGCCAACCGTTCAGTCTATTTATAAATGTATTAAGCCACATTCTTGAAGGAGCTAAGCCTTTTTGATAAACAAAGTGTGTTGGTAACTGTAAGGACTCTTGGTATTAGGTTAAAACACATGAAATTATCACTTTTCTAAGTTGAATATCAGCTATTTCTTATCTTCATCTCCATATGTGAAAGTCTTCACATCAACAGCAATGTTAATAGAAATAATTTAGAAGAACAAGAAATATGGTAGCTATGATTTGCTAAATCTGGAATAAAAGAATACTCATTGCTCATTTTATATCGGACGGGACACCATATTTGGAGATAAATATATACATTTTTTAGAAAGAAAATTATCTTCAGATAATTTTTACTCTTTATTCACAGTTAAGAAGAGCTTTGGAAAACCTCAGGGAATAATGTGATGACATTATTGTGGTAATCTCCATTAAAGTATCAATAAAATGGTTTTTAAAAATATCACATTTAAAAATATATATATATATACATTGTATATTAGCTTTCTGGGACTTCCATACAAAGTACCACAAGATGAATGGAATAAAACAATCAAAATTCTTTTATATTCCAGAATCCAGAAACCCAAAAACAAGGTGTTGGCAAATGGGTTCCTTGTGGAGGATCTTAGAAAGAAACTCTTCCACACCTTTCTCTACATACTGGTCTTTTCCTACAAATTTGGTGTTCACTGGCAGCTTATCTCTAATCTCTGTTTATTTACATGCCTTTTGCCTCTGTGTCTGTGTCTTCACATTTTTCTACTTATAAGTGCAGTCATTGGATTTAGAGCCCATCTTAACTCAATCACATCTGCAAGAACCTTATTTTCAAAAGTCAGAGTCACAGGCTCCCAGTGCTAGGACTTTACATATCTTCTAGGGGTATGTAGTTCAAACTATAATTGTTGCAAATAATATATCCTAATATTTTCTTTTCTAACTTTAACTCATGTAAAAGATGGGGCAATTTTTTTCTCCTATCTATGAAAACAAACTGGCTTGGGCTGGTAGCAACTCCCTCCTGTCTTACATTGGGAGGGGCCTGAAAATTTGTACAGATACCCATTGTTAAATCCATATTTTATTCCATTGCTTTGCCGGTCCCTCCCCTCTCTTGTTCCTGCCACAATACTTGCTCCTTAACCACCAGCCAGCCTAAAGACGAATGAACTGCCATAGACCAGGGAAAAGACACAACCAGCTCTCAAAAAAAGTTGGGAACCTTTGGGGTGAAGGGACCCAGGTCCCAGACACCTCAACCTAGAAGAGCAAAGGTGGCAGGTGTCCAGGGTTCCAGGTGGCCACATCCTGGCCTTGGGAATGAAGGGCCAAGAAGAGGTAGAGCAGAACCCCTAAATCATGAGCCCGAGAACAAGGCTCCATTGCACAGGCCAAAGGATGGCCCCTGACCTGCTGGTTGAATGTTCTCCAGTGTACCCAAAGATCATGGTTCAATTTCCTTTCTGGGCATGTGCCTATTTCCCAGTAGGGGGTGTGTAGAAAGCAGCAGATCTAGGTCTGTCTCTCACATCCAGGTTTCTCTATTTCTCTCTCCCTCTTTCCCTTCTTCTCTCTCTAAAATCAAATTTTAAAAAATCTTATATAATAATCCTATATAATAAAAGGGTAATATGCAAATTGACCCATGAATAACCACAAATGATCGGTCACTATGATGCACACTGACCACCAGAGGGCAGATGCTCAACACAGGAACTGCCCACTTGTGGTTAGTGTGCACCCACAGGGGGAGCTACACTCAGCCACAAGCTGGGCTGACTGCTGGGAGCACAGGGTCAGTAGCACCCCCACCTCCATGGCAGCACTAAAGATGTCCGACTGATTGTGGGCCTAAGCTGTCAGTTGGACATCCCCCAAGAGTTCCCAGGCTTAGGCCTGCTCCCCCAGGGACATCCCCTGAGGGGTCCCAGACTGCAAGAAGGTGTAGACCAGGCTGAGAGGACCCCCCTACACACACTTCCAGTGCATGAATTTTAGTGCCCCGGACCTCTAATATATATAAAAGGATTGCCCCTGCCTAGGGTTACATGAAATCCTTACCAGCACAGCATTCATCATTCCTGGCTGTCTAGACCAACAATTTTCAACATTTTTCATCCATGGCACACATAAATAAATTACTAAAATTCTGTGGCACACTGAAAATATATTCTTGATAAAAAGGGTATAATCTTGATTCATTCACACTGGAAGGCTATTGTTGTGTTCACTGTTGTCATTTTTAAATTTTATTTCACAATCCAAAGGAAAAGAGGTCAGTGCCCCTGACTAAATAATCAAATATTGCATGTTTTAAACATTTTTGTGGCACACCAGTTGAAAATCGCTGGTCAAGAACATTCCAGTCTGGTTCTTCTCCAGATAAGTCAATTTCCACAAAATGTGGTTTTAAAATAAACAATCCAACATGCTTGACAATAAATCTGTTGCCCTTCAAATAAATTGCCTAAGGAATCAAAAGAAAACAAGCACACAAAACAAGAATGTCAGAGAAATGCCAAAACAGCTCGCAGCCAGAATAATGAAGATGGAAAAGTAAAAGGCTATTGTTTCCAGGGCTTTCAGTGGTGGAGGGAAGACAAACCACTGTGGAAAGTAAAATCCAATAGTTTAGT